CCGGGAGCTCTGAAACTGGGCCTCCTTGCCTCAGGACACCTTGTTTCTTTCTGTGGCTCCCCAGTGAGTCCAAATGAGTAGATACTCCTTATAGAGACTGTGAACATAAGAACGGCCCACTGCATCAGACCAATGGTCCATCTAGTTCAGTGGCCAATGCCAGGTGATTCAGAGGGAATGAACAGAACAGGTAATCATCAAGTGATCCATCCCCTGTCACCCATTCCCAGCTTCTGGCAAACAGAGGCTAAAGACACCATTCATGCCCATCCTGTCTGTGACACTGACTCTTGCAAAAGCCCCCATGTCTTCATTGAACAGGTACAAACACATAGCTGGAATCAGTCTGATTCACCTGTGTTAGTATTGTTAAAACAGGTATTAGAATGATAAGAATGTGTTTAGTGTTTAGACTTTATTGAATGCTTTATTGAGTTGCTGCCTGGGTTAACATCTGACTAGTTGCATTGTGAGCCTCTGTGGTTATGTAAATAACCAGATAAGAAACTTTACCTAGGTGAAGTGCTCATTGGCAACAGAATACATTATATCCTGCCTGGCAGGAAAGGTCCATCAACACCAGGTAGACTATTATGGGACGTTCAAGAAGACAAAAGACTGTTGTTGTGCTCTTCACTTCAGATTAGCTGAGTTTGCAGCTCAGAGCACATGGCAGGAAGGGGATAAAAAAACCCCATACAGAAGGAACTGCTTATCTGTAGCCTGCTTAGACTCTGGGGGGGCAAAGTTTCTAGGCATAAGCAAGAGATCCCCAGCTGCTTAGCCAGGGTTAGTCCTAAAGAATATGTAGGGCTTGCTTATTATAGAAGCTTCTATTACCTTTTGAAATTTAAGACTAACTCGTCTGCATCTATATGATTACCTGCTTTAACTTTGTAAACAACTCTCATTTCCTTTTAAATAAACCTTAATACAGGTTATTACAGGACTGGCTAGAAGTGTTGTCTTTGTTGTGAGATCTAAGATTCAATTAACCTAAGAAAGTGACTGGTCCTTTGGGACTGGCAGTAACCTGAATATTGCTGTGATTCGTGGTGTAAGACAGTGGTTCTCAACCATGGGTCTAGGGCCCCCTGGGGGCAATGAGCAGGTTTCAGAGGGGCTGCCAAGCAAAGCCAGCATTAGATACACTGAGGCAAGAAAGTTGAAGTCCCAGCGCATGGGGCTGAACCAAAGCTTAACAATGTAGCTTTGTGGGGGGCCCTGTGGCATGGAGCACCAGGCCGTTGCCCTGATTGCTACCCCATAACGCGAGCCCTGGCTTTTATATTCAGAAAACCAGTTATTGTGGCCCATGTGGGCCACTGAGTTTTTATAGCATGTTGGGGGGGCCTCAGAAAGAAAAAGGTTGAGAACCCCTGGAGTAAGGGACCATCTGTCACAAAGGTGAGCTCACCTGTGTAGTGGGATGTGTGGGATGACCCAAAGGGACGGTCTGTGATTCCATGTTAATGCTGTTACAGTGCCTGAAGCGTTTACACGGGATACTTGGTTGGTGAAATCTACATATAGACCTCACAACCAATTTGGGGTTTGTTTCCTGCTTCTTTCCAGTTCGCTTGAGGCTGGTGCTCATGCTCTCGAGTCACTGAAGACAGCGTTACAGAGACTTACGGGCACAACGCCACCAGCAGCAATTGGCAGCAATGCAGAGCAGGCTTTACAGTGACACAGTGTGGGCCAAATGGTCTACGGACTCAGTCAAATCCCAGTTCTCCTCCAGTGCATATCAGCATCCCGGCAACCTTCAAAGAGGGTCAAGGCTGCCAATCCTTCAGTGATGATGAATCTCCAGCATAGCATTACTTGTGCCCCATGACCCACCTTGTCTCATGAGACAGAGGTGAGTGACAGAGGGTGTATAACAGATCCTGGGAGATAGAGAAAGGGATAACAAAACACACCTTCTGGGGGTCACCCCTCATGAAGTGAAGGTGACAGGCATTGTGGTGGCAGTAAAGGGGGAGAGGAGGGAGTGGGAGCAGGAGTGAGCAGCACCCTCAAAGGCAATGCTGCCAGTGGGTTGCCCCACCCCATCAAGTATGGGGCTGATAGGGAGCCATTCCCTGGGCCTGGGTGCCTGTGAAGGGCTATATAAACCCCATGCTGGCACAGAAGGGGTTAAACTGCTGCTTTAGTCTGAACTGGCCTGGTCCCTCCACACCTGCAAACCATGCCAGGCCTGGAGCAGGAGTTAACAGGAGAGACCTACTCTACTCAGAAGGGGGCAACCCTGGGAAGGGAACAGTCTGTGGAGCATCTCCAGCCCTAAAGAGAGGGCTGGCAGCATTTGGGGCTCTGGCCATCACTGAGGGAGGCCCAGCAGTTGAGCACCAGTTTCATGGGCTGAATGGCCTCTCACTGGGGGCTGCCAGAAGCCTGGTACATGGAGTAGATATGAGGTGGCCTGGGGAGCAGGAAGCAGGGAAGCATCCCAGACAGCACACCTAGAAGGAAAATGGAGAGGGGACGAGGGGCACTGCAGTGAATTCAGCACCTGTCCTGAAGGCCATTGGCAGAAAGTTGTCCTCTCCCTGGCCTACAGGAGTTAGACAGTGACACAGAGATCCCTTGGCAAAGGGTTACTTGGTCTTTGTTGGCAGCTCTCACTTGAGACCTGACAAACCCCTCACACCACACACATTTCTTGGAGGATGATCATGTGAGGTGTCTACAGAAATCTCATAACTGGTCAAGACTCAGTGACTGAGAGATCAATGTATGGGTCATATGTAAGGAACAAAGCATTTATATTGAAAATCTACTTTATGGACTTCATAGAATCATAGAATCATAGATTATAGGACTGGAAGGGACCTCGAGAGGTCATCGAGTCCAGTCCCCTGCCCGCATGGCAGGACCAAATACTGTCTAGACCATCCCTGATAGACATTTATCTAACCTACTCTTAAATATCTCCAGAGACGGAGATTCCACAACCTCCCTAGGCAA